GCGTATACCCCCACTTTCAGTGGGGGTTCACCCGCAGAACCGGGACGGGTTGATGTTGAATGCGGGCGACGTACACCAGCTCCTCGACAGCATCGCTCAGGTGGGCTTTGTGCCTGCCCGTGTGGATGCCATCGGCATCGAGATAGGCTCGGACGACCACCGCATCTACAACCAACGAATGGTTGATGGTGCCGGTGGCTCGCTTGGTACCATGGACAGCAAACTCCTCAAAGTACTCAGCCTGTCAGCATCTCATACTAACTTTGCCCTCAGACTGGTTGCATGTTCGGCTCGCCACGAGTCGACAGAGCTTTCTGTGAATGGGATGCTAAGCCTTCAGCAAGTCAGGGCTCGAGATGCAGCCCTGGCAGAACACGTGGAGCTTGGGCTTACTTGGCGAGTCATTTCCAAAGAAGTCGGCGAGGCTTTTCCCAGCATTGTCCAGCTCGTTCAAGCATCACAGAATGCGACATTGCAGAAGAGTGAGAGTGAACTCCAGCTTCTTCGCCGCATCTTCTCTTTGGCAAGCCGTGAAAGCTCCCCGGACTTCCAGAACATCAAGAAGGTGGCCCTGAGCTCGAAGCCACCGTGTGGCGATTGCTTTCCGGCTCTCTACAGTTTCGCCCTCCGCTTCTGCGGGGGGGCGGACGGCGGCTTTCTACGAGAAAGCGAGATCTTCGTCAGGAGCTCAGGCCAAACAAGAGCTTTGGGATTGCAGTTCTGGGAGGTGCTCTCCCAAGACTTCAAGAAAGGCCAGGAGCAGATCCCTCATTTCCGGCATGCATTGCTGAAGCTGGCTTTGTCAGGGGGTGGGATCACCGCAAGCACAGCGCGGAAGATGTTCGCCCGAGACTGCGAGAAGAAGGTTCTGGAGGGGAACCAAGTGTTGTGCGAACTTCGGGAGCTCATGGTCAAGAAGGGTGTTGACGTCTTCAGGGATGTCAGCTTCGTGAACATCTTGGGAGTGGTGGACATGAATGTCGTGAGGCTCTGCCTTGGGCTTCCTCGTGCCGAGCAGGAGAAAAGCTATAGGGCCGTCCAAGGCATCGCACACGATGCTTGCCTGCTCTTGGGATTGGAGAGTCCGTGGGCGGCATTTGCCGAAGCAAATGCCGATGGCAAGTCATCGGCCCAGGGAGCAGCTGAGAGGATGAGGGAGCTGAACCCGGATGGGTCACTCCGCAATGCGGAGGACTTGCTGACTGATGCAGGCTTCGTGGTCGATGCCTTTGTTCGTCGCAAAGCGGACAAGTTGGAGTGCCGGATCAAGCACATCAAGGGCTCCCAACTTCAACTGCAGGATCTGCAGAAGAAAGGCTTCATGAAGGTTGCCAGCGATCAGTTCCTTGCTGGTGGGTGGATCTTGTTCACCCCAAAGAAGGAAGCAGAGGTTCTCGAGGGTTTGTCCATGCTGGGCTTCTCCCAATCTCTGGAGTATCAGGCTGCTCTCATGGTCGCAGACATCCAAAAAGAGTTGGACATATTGGCACAGAAGCATGATGTTGATGGGGTGCTCGGCAAGCTCAGCTTGCAAATGAAGCCTCACAAGGCTTTGACAGTCAAGCAAAAGTTCACCAAAGGCCAACTGGTGCTTGTGCCAGTGAGCTGGAAGATCATTCACAGGCTGAAATCCCAAGGCTCTTTAGCGAATGCCGTGGAAGTGCAGACCCCATGGAAGCTCGACGATCGCCAATTCTGGCTCTCGTCATGTGTGCAGCTGCCAAAGGGCGACGAGGATATGGGGTCGGGCAAGTGCTGCATCTCACCGTTTTTCCTCGTCAACATGACGGACGATGCAGGATCCACCAACATGGAGCTGAGCTGGTCTGGCACGAAGACTAGCAACATCCGGGTGCCACTACTCCGAAACAACATCCTCCTATCGCCAGGCGATCATTTGTCCCAGTTCATGCCGAAGAAGGCCACTCGGGATGATCTTGAGATGCCAGCTGCACCCAAGAGATTGAGAACCAAGCAGTAGGCGCACAGAGCAGATGCATCCGATCTCGGCATCATGCCCGAGCCACCTAAAGCTAAATCTATATGTTTATCATAGATGTAGATCGGTATATACTTAAATGTACATATGTATATTTAAAGATGCATGTAGATGTGAAGTATACATGAAAAAGTGCTCGGCTGCCTTGAGGTGTGGCTTTCGTTACATGTCTGCATTTTGCCCAGCAGACATGGATCCATGCGATTTCGATCTCAGGGAAGACTTCCCTGCACAGAGGTTTGAGTGGTGTGCAGCATGAAATGTGCCTTCAGTGCTTTGCAATCTTTGTACGTGTCGCTTGCAGGGCTTTCAGCTCGCAGGCAGCTCTGCATGCATGTGCATGCAGGAGATGTGAAGGCATGCTGTTGTGCCCAGCTCGCTCTCAAGTGTTTCTAGAAGTCTCGCATCCTTTCACCCGTCCCATTGTCGAGCTCAGCATGGACGAGAATCGCATGGACGAGATTCGCATCACACAGAAGTATGTGGTTCAGCTTGGCAAGTCTGCTCCCTTCGTCCCGACTCAGAAGCTCGTGCAAGACGTTCCTTTCATTTGCCTGCAGAAGTGGGACCGAACCAGTGTCAGATTGCTTTCCGGAAAAGCATTAGATCTGAGAAAGCAGAAGAAGGACAGTGCAGGATCCTTGGCATGCTCAGCATGGGACGAGCTCGTGCAACTACGACAAGAACGTGCCAACATGCTGCTGCAGGATGCCCTGAAGGAGGAGTCGGAAAATCCCAAGCCCAAGAAGGAGAAGCCTGTTCGAGCACAGTCCAAGCATGCCGTCATGCTCCCTTTGTCGATGGAGGTGGAATTCCATGGCAAGTCCATTACCATGCTGTTGGAGGGGTTGGGGTCGTCTTCAGTTTGGGTGGAATTCACGGAGGACAACATTAAGTTCCTGCGGGAAAAGTGCAGCTCCAGCGAGTCCACTCCCAAGAAGAAGAGAAAGATTGCCAAGAAGGGTAAGAAGAACGATGACAACCAGGAAGCCGCTGATAATGATGACGAGGACGGCGAGGGCGAGGAAGAGGATGAGTGAGTTTTTGTGGTGCCCAGTTCGATGGCCGGCTTGATTGGGTATAAAAAATTGAACAGAAGCAAAGAGAGAGAGATGGAGGAGAGAGAGAGAGAGAGAGACAGAGATTATATACATATATATATATATGTATTATATGGAGACATAAACATATATGTATGAGAGAGAAAGAAAGAGAAAAAGAGAGGCAGACCGAGTCAGTGAGTCGATGCCTCAGGTGCCAAACTGTTTGCATGCTGTGTTCCATGGTGTGCAGCTCTTCATGTCGTTGCTGATTTGCAGTTGAAACACTCGATCGTGGACCGATTCAGGCTCTTTTCTGGGTCGATGCATGCATGCATGCATGCCGCATGCAAACTTCAAACATCCTTTGATGCATGTGGCATGCAAACATCAGGTCGTGGGCCACAATGCAATGCACATATCAGGTCATGGGCCACATGTGCAGGCTGGCATGCACTGCATGCACTTTTTGAAGGGTTGAGGGCCTTGTGGGCTTTCCGGTGCAGCCATGGCTTGCTTTGCCATGCGATGGTGTGGCATGCCTCAGGTCGGGGTTTTTGGAGACTTTGCATAAATGGATCGTATATCTGTCTTGCCTAGGACGACGAGCACAAGATGGTGCAGACCGCCGGCATGGAGTTTCACGACCTGCTGCCGGTACGAGGACCCCTCAGATAAGTTTACTTCGCCCGGATCGTTCCCAAACACTCTGGCCAGGACAGAAGAAGTTCCGGTGGCAGGTCGATGTCCCCGGTGGGGGTCGGCTTCGCTGGACCAAAGGGGGCTTCCACATCGACATCATGAGTGACCCTCCACAGCTGTCGGTGTGGTGGAACGATTCCGACAGTGAATCGG